AGACAAACACATGAACATCTATTCTAGCATATATAGACATATGGAGAGAATGAAATGATCAATTGGAAGCATTAAACCACACAAATCATTGAATAAACAATATCTATATATATAAAAGTGTCAAAACATGTATCACAATACAAATCCCCTCAAAAATACATAAATCAAGATGTAGAAAGCATGCTTAGGGCTAACTCTAGCCCCAAGAGGATGTCTAGCCACTCATGGATGGTGTCTTCCAACCCTCAAGGGCTAACTCCATGGTAGAGATTAATCCTCTTCTTAGTTGATGGAAGAACTCCAAGCTTGTGTCTCTAGCCTCCTCTCTTCTTTTCTTCCTCACTAAGAATATGAAAATTATGTCTCTAGTATATCTATTTACTATATGTCAAGAATGGCTCATATTCCTTATATAGGTATGTTAAATGTCACCCCCAATGAGCTGGGCTCGTACACCAATATTCCTTCCAATGATTAGATATGAGACAACTTTTAATGAGTTGGAAATTGGATTTTCTCGGGCTTAAGGAAGTTCGATCGATCGAACTTGTGGTGAGATCGATCGAACATGGCTGAGATCTATCGAATTTAAGCTGGATCGATCCTCTATGGCGGTGCCTTTTTGGATAAAGACAAATCTAAGATATTTTGAAGATATTTTTGGGAAAAAGACAAGTGTGGTAGGTAGGGTGGTACAACTGGATAAGATGGAATCTTTTTAATCGATCGGAAAAAAGTTGGATCGATCGAACTTGGTGGGATCTTTGGATAAGGACAAAAGAGCTTGGATCCATCTTTAGAGGCTAAGTTTGGATAGAAATGGAATTCGGTACTCAAACCTATAACTTGTTACAGCTGATAGAACGGTGACAAATTTAGCTGAGGTGGCAGGCCTGCATTGGTCCATTGCTCTGAAAATATCTGAATTGTGCTCTCCCAATCATTGGTGGAAGGTGACAGGTGTATATCCGTGGTGTGTGAGACCTTGAGTAATTCAGAGTCACTATAAATATGCTGCAATAAGGCTCCTTAGGGTTTAAGCCTCTAAAATTCACATTGCACATTGAGCTGCTCGTGAGAACCCTCAAGAATACTATGTCAAACAAGTTTTTCTCTGCTATTTGACAATGATCCATGCAAGAAAAACTCATTGAATCAACTCTGAGGCGTGCTCTGTTTGCTGAGATGAGGCTGCTATCAAATATGCTGATGCAAGGGCTGTTTTGAAGAGTGACTTGGTGTTTCAAGCTTCTGTGGTCAATTCTGAGAGTTGACACATGTATAATTCATCTTCTTACACTTGTTCGAACTGCATTTGTGTTGAGAATATGCTGAAAATGAATTCGGACAGTGTGGTCACCAGTTAAGATTAGTTTTCTGAAGAAATCTTGGATTCAAGTGTTATTTGATTATACTTAGCTATTTTTTATTGATCTATGCTGCTAGCTAGTATATTTTGATGAATCGAGATTATTAAAGTTAAGTTTGTAGCAAAACTATGGTATGTCGTGATTTTGAGTATTCTATGCCGAAGCTGTTATGTACTGAAGGTAATCTGTGCTGAGGCTATTATGTGCTAAGGGTATCTGTGCTGAGGTTATCCTGTGCTGAGGTTGTTTGTGCAGAAGCTATCTGTGCCGAAGCTTTTTGTGTTGAAGCTGGTATTTGCTGAACCCAGGACTTGGACTGAACTTGTGATATACTCATGATTTGTTTGACTATATAAAGCTATGAACATGAGTACAATAGTGAAAGAAGACTGTATGAGGCGCTTGTAAATTGATCTCAAAAAGAATTTCCTATTTTACCCCTCGGACACTTAATGCAGCAGATTGCAGTTTTAAGGCAGTAATTTGGAATTCTGTGTTGTGCAGCTTATTTGAAGTGTATTTGGTGTGTTGACACTTTGTGTAAATGGTAGTGAGGCATGATCCCTCACCCCATTGTTGAGTGGCAGTGAGGCTTTACATCCTCACCCCATTTTGTGAGCTATTGAGAGCTTGTTGGGTCCTAGCGTGGTTGCTTCGGACAGGGGGAGTGCTTGGATGCACTAAAGTGTCCTAGTGTGTGTGTATTGGTTGTGAAAACTAGTGTCTATTCTGGTGCATGAATGTGTACAGAGAGTGAGACAGCTGAGTGTGTAACAAGATACATACAACTAGTGGATTACTTATTAGCCGAGGCCAAGAACCAAGGTTTTTCCTATTTAAGAGGGTTTCCTTGTAAATCTTGCGTTATCTGTTCTTTGAATGCTTACTCAGATGTGTGTGAAAGTTTTTAAAAGCAAAGATTTAACCAATTCACCCCCCCCCCCCCCTCTCGGTTCAACAATAGAGAATTCAGCAATTGAACCAGTGAATACTTAGAACACCTGTGAAATTAACGAATTCAATACAATATACCATCATACACAAATGTGTTATGATATAATACATGTGTGAAATAGACCTAATTGCATTTGAGAAGCTCTGTATCAAAATATCATTATATATGCTACAGTTGTTAACCTTAAGATGTCTGCAAAATAGTCTTCAAAGACAATGTACCTTCCTTAGATCATTTGGATAGCCTTCTCAACACTGTGAAATGACCAACCTACCCCTATAGGTCAATTGAATGCATTGTTCAAGTCGAAAATACTTGGAACTTAATGTAAAGAACCTGTTGTGGACTTTTTAACATTTAAAAGGACAAACCTTAATTCAAAGGTGAGACCAACAAGTTGGAATCTGACAACGACCATGAAGGACATCTAAATCTGCAGACATGGCAACGAAAATCCCAAAACCCAAAAACTGAGAAAAAGGAATGGAACAAAAGAAAAGGCACAACTAATCTCGCTAAAGGGGGAAACAGAACTACACTGGAAAAGTTTGTCCCAAAGAGAAGGAAATCACCAGAGATGAAGGAGTAGTGTTGTCAAGCTTACTTGTAAGTTCCAGTCAAGCAAAATACAGTAGGAGTAAATAAAAAAGACAAAAAAGGAAAAAGATACATATAAATATAGGCCAGAACTTAACTTCGATCGGGATACTCAAAGATCATGCAATAATGACAGTACAAATCCTAAGGGATACACGCCGCCCCCTCCACACATTAATGTGTATCTATCATTAATGTGCACAAGGCCCAAGAGCACGTCCATATACAGATGTCCCACATTCATGAGGAACAGTTGTAGGGGCAAGATGAAGGGGCAGATCCATCAGGCCAAGATGAGAGGATTCGCCTAAGCCCAACAACAAGCCCTCTATGTCAGTTCAATTCAAAATAGAGGCCATGCCCAAACTCACAACAACAATACAAGAAAGTAGGCCCAATTTGATGTATAATCCAGTGCGTGGACATCACGAAAGGAAATTAGGGTAGAAGGAAAGTAGCTATAAATAGAAAAAGGAAAGAAAATTGTAGGGTGGTGTAAAAAATGACTTTTTGTACCTATGGTATTATATATATTTTCTCCTTTTTTGTTTTCAGGAATTAATCTGGGAGGGAGGAAGTTGTTGAAGGAAAGAATGAGTTTGATTGGAAGTGCCAAGGCAGAGAAGTTGGAGCAAAAGTGGAGCAATTTGCTGGTTGGTGAAATCAAATTATAACTAAAACGCCGTGTTCAATTGATTCCAAAACAGACTTATTGATTCCAGAACAGACTTAAACTAGTGTTGACTGAAATGAAGTCTTGAAAAGTTTTGATGCAGTCATTCAAGAATCTATTGATTGTTACAGGTGAGGATAAATTGCAATGGCATACTCCTCCTTTTGGGTTTAAATCAGCTTGGGAAGCTGCTAAAGTGAAGAATCAATAAGTGGCTTGGGCTAGTTTGTGCTAGAATGGTGGACGGCCAAGATGGTCAGTCCATTCTGTTTTGATTATGCATCGGGCAGTTATATCTCAGGATTTTTTGCAAACGAGAGGGTTTACTTTAGCTTCTAGATGTTGTTTATGCTATAATGAAGTTGAAACTGTGGATCATATGGTTTGTGGGTGTGAATATACTTGGAAGGTTTGGAGTTTTCTTTCAGATGTGTGTTCATGGAACCTTCATAGGGTATTTGTTTTGGCAGATTTGTTGCTTTAATTTGATCAACAGTATCAGAGGAAGGATGTCAAGAAAATGGCTAAAGTCTGTTTTACAACTACACTATATTTTTTATGGTGGGAGAGGAATAATAGATTACATGACAAGAGTGTTAGAGAGGCTAAGGATTTAGCTAAGTGTATTCTTTGGGAAGTATTGGATGTGTTGGGGGTTAACCTTCAAGACATTTGTAATTCGTTTTAAGTGCAATTTTTTATATGTTTGGTCCTTGGTTAGGACTTTCTTTTTAGTGAGGGTATGCCCTTGCTTGATTTCTTGTACTATATTGTTTATTTGAATATACTCCTTCTTTTCTTTTTTCTTTTTTTTTTAATAAAAAAAAAAAAAAAATGGGTCTTGAAACATCAATATAATGTGTTAAAAAAAGAAAAAAGAAAAGAAGAAAAAAAAAATGGGTCTCGAAACATCAATATAATGTGTTGCGTGTGTTCTTGAAGTAAAAGTTTTTGTGAGTGATGCTTAGGGATGGCAATTTATGTCTCTCATGTTCTATTGTACATCAACAACCTGTTATATAAGTTGACACCATTGTTATTTGTGTCAAGAAAGAATCTTGACTTGACCAGGACACTGGTATCATGACACCACTCGCCTAATCAATTTAATAATAAGTAGAACACACAAAACAAGTTTACTTAAAATTTTATACTATTAGTCATTTCTAACACGAACACGAAAAGTTTAACAAATCGGATTATTTCTAACACGAATACAAAACTCGTTTAGTTAAATGGGCCTAGTCGAGTTATTGCAACCCTAATTGGCCGTGTTGACTGTTGAATCCTCTATGTAATGGTATTGTATATACATTTAAATGCACTATGTACTGGAGAGAATCTTGATTGAGAATAAACTTACACATCCATTGCATTCTGGAACTAAAATTTAATTTTACCAATGAATCACAATACAAATAATGACATCACATATATGCTCTTGAAACAACTGTCAATTCTTCACAAATAGAACAATTGTGTACACTTCAATCTTGTAGTTACTAAGTGATTTCATCTGTCATTTCTTTCCTTACAACAAATGGAATAAAAACTATAGTTAACGAACTGAATGTGCTAAGAAAGATTGATTATGTTTGAACTATCATCCTTGATCATTCATTCTTAATGACTGCTAAGCTGGCTTCGCCCAAGATAAGACACCCTTGAGGAAGGAATTAAAGGCGCTTCTTCATCTACAATTACATCAGGAGCAGAATCATTCCATCCTTTCTTTCCACCATTCATGAAATCTTCTGGTACATAAACATCGGATGACTTCCTCTCTGTCTTCAGATCCTGCATTATATTGTCAAGAGCAGCACATAGATTAACAACCCATACGAAAAACAAGCTCTCCACCAATAAAAAAGTGACTAATTTTTACCACCATTTGGTTTTACCTTATGCTCATCCAAGAGAGACTAAAAATATTCCAGAATATATATAGCACTACATGGTTGTTTTGTGCTGACTGACATTTGATGAAGCGAAAAGGCAACCTTATTTTTTCCTAGTTGGTACTCACAAACTGCATGCATATCATTATGAAATGACTCTGAACCATGTCATTCATATCAAAATTATGAACATTAGGAAATGGAAAGTCATTTTTATCAATGCAATGGAATTTTAGTTCTTAAATACAATCATCATAACGGTATTACCAAAATGCATATATGTGCTGCAGGAGTTGGTGTTACATGTTTGCATTGAAAGAGGGACAAGGTTTCTCCAAAAGGGGGGATCATCAATGTAGCAAGCATTTTTCAAATAAAACTCATAGAAGATATTCAGAAGAGAATTTAAAAGTAATAATTTGTATAAAACAACAATCAATCTATCTAGAGATATCTAAGTCATTTAGAAGATTGACCTTTGCTGGAATACTTTCCACAGGAAGCTGGGATGCTCGCACATCCTTGATCTTCAAGTAGTTGTACATGACAACACCACATACAGCTGCCAAAATAATAATCAATTTGAATGTGCCTTCAGATCATTAATGCTCCCAAATTTTACAAGGAATGAAATGTGTACCAATTGCATAGCCGATAATGTTAAGCCCGGTAATTGTTGACTCGGGAAATATAACAGTTGAAAGGGCAATGAGTATCCAGTCTTTTAAAACACCAGCAACTCGAATCGTCACTGCTCCAGTTCTACCAATTACTAAGAAAATTGAGAAATTCAATGCCAGAGCACAAAGGGCATTCGAGAAAAATATCCAGAAATTGAACTGGATCTGGGAAACTTCCATTCCAGGCTTCTCCAGTAGATACCAAGGAACAAAGAGAAACAGGAAACTGCAAATGAGCACATGACAACACAAAACAATGAGCATCATGCTGAACAGCATAATTGTTATCGTATCACATACTAAAGCATCATAGGGAAAAAGAGGAGTGTGTGTCAACTAGGAAAAAAGCACCATATGTTGAGCCGTTGTGAAGACAGAACCGATAGGTCCACGGAAGAGGCAGAAACAATGGGTCATTCTCACAACTGATAGATAGAAAAAAGAGCTTCCATAAACCATCTTTTATTAGTTAATGGAAAAGGCTCGGCAACCAAACACCTTCCTCATTGCATCCCCTGCCCATTGTATTCCTTTTCCTTCAAAAATTCTAACATACTGAATTGGTGTAATAAAGATGAAAGTGTTGTCCACACTCTTAACGTGTCAATTTCTACCTCTTTCTGACTATTGACTTCCACATATTTCACCACTTTCCAATAAAGCACGATGCAGCAATGTGCTAAAGTAACTTAAATTGGAAACTATTGGTTTGACATAAGACCTATTCCTAACATGCATAGAATAATACTTATCAGCATCACTCGAATAATTTCCCAGCTGGTTTTCGCTGGAATCAGTATCCTAGTCTATCTATTAGTTATAACACAAGTATTATCTATATAAAAAAGTCCATTGTAAGGTGTTGCTCAGTCATACAAGGTGCTGAGAGGGTAAACTGGGTGCAAACACACCTCCAGCATTATCTCCTAGAAGTGGCTGCCCCTAAACTCTTTACCTTGACAGCCCAAGTTTTTATAGTTACAGCCTCCATTATTGTGGTTAGATTTACTATTTGAATAGCTGGTGGTAAATCCAAATCATATCCCTGTGCTTACCATTAACGAGATACATCAGCTGCATATGTTCCACGTAGTAAATCGTGTGCGCATACCTCTGACGGTTAGCCAAAACGGTATCTCCTCCTTCCAAATGGAAGGTTTCGGGTTTGACTCCCAATGGGACGAGTTGTGTGTTTGTGTCTGACAAAAATAAGAAAATAAAATAATTTGTGTGCCTCATGCTTAACTATAACAAGGTACATCACTGCGTACTATGTTTCCATGAGCATATAATGGTTTATATGCCTGCCTCATTGCAAGATATACTCCATGATGTCCTCTTGAAACACCATTTTGTCAATAAATAAGTATGGTTAGTAACTTGGTATGCACGCAAGATGTTTGTCTATTAACAAAAATAAATAATTAAAAATTTTAAAAAATAATGTTATGGTAAACTATGTTGCCATTAGTAATTGTTAGCAAATATAATAGTCACGATTGATGGAATGACTTGCCGTATTAGCAAAAATTTGATTATGCCATAAAATATGCTGTGATTTGATTTAATTTCCTTTCTTGTAATATGAGTATGTGCTCTTTCTATCTATAAATACCAGAGCTGTGAATGAGTGATTATCTCATTCAAGCCTTTACACAATTATCTTATTTTTTCTTCTTTTTATATTTCTACTTGGTATCAGAGCCAGGGTGGTCCGACTGCAATGAGGGCATTGTGAGTTCGGCACCACCCATTCCGGAATGGTATAAGATGACATCGCCCATCCGGAAGGTGTTGGGTAGGTAAGAAGGGAGTTCCGATCTCAATGAGGGCGTTGCGAATTTGGCACCACCTATTCAGAAATGGTCTGAGGAGGCATTGTTGATTTTTTCATCTACATTGTTTAAACACATGTATGAAGGGGAATGGCCTGAGGAGACATTGTTGATTCTTCCATCTACATGTTTAAAACATGTGTATGAACAGAAATGGTTTGAGGAGACATTGTTTGTTATTTACGGTTTGAGAAGACATGATTGGTTGTTTATGGTCTGAGGAGACATTGTTAATTGTTTATGGACTGAGGAGACATTTTTGATTTGTTGATCGGCACTTCATCTAAGAGAAAATCATCGCTAGTCAAATTTGCACTCCATTTGTCACAAGCTCTCAGTAGCTTGCAGACATTCTTACAAAAGGCATTAGTAAGATTGTGCTTGAGAATGCATTGTCCAAGTTGGGCGTTTCAGATATCCACGCACCAACTTAAGGGGGAGAATTAATAGATATGATAGTCACGATTTATGGAATGACTTACCGTATTAGCAAATATTTGATTATGCTATAGAATATGCAATAAAATATGCTATGATTTAATTTCGATTTGATTTAATTTCTTTTCTTGTAATATGAGCATGTGTTCTTTTTATCTATAAATACCTGAGTTGTGAATGAGTGATTATCTCATTCAAGCCTTTACACAATTCTCTCCTTTTTTCTTCTTTTTATATTTCTACTATAATCTAGTTGCACAGTGTTATACTAATAGATTAAAGGGCTCCCTAATGACCTAAAGTATTCAGGATTTCCCATTATTGTTTTTGTATATTTTGGAAGTCCAACAATGGATTGCCATCAGTAAAATTGATATTAATGGGAAGTTTGATGAAAGCTTTACGCTGCAGCGAAAAAACACATCCAAATCTGGATTTCAACCATGTTTCCACCCTTTCTTCAAAAAGCATTTCCAGTTCCGGGATTCGAGCATGTTTCCAACCTTATTGTAAGTGAATGTAGGAATTACATACTCTTTGAAATCTAACAACATGATATAGATCCACTGAGAATAAATAACAAGTTCGTAGCGTGAGTGCACTCGTGCACAAATGTATAAACTTTATATAGATCATTTTTTACCATCGTTCGTGTCGAAAAGCAACAGGATTGCATTTTTAGTATAAGTTTGGTTTAGCGAAAACAAAAAGTACTTAATTGTGTCAACAAGTACTTCCATTTCCACCAACCAAATAATTTAAAGACAACCCTAAACCACCCCACATGCTCACACACACAAGGGAAAAAAATAAATAAAGAAAGAAAAAAAAATCTTATCACCCTATAGAAGCTTTTGACAAGAATAGATCATCTCTCTCCTCTCTCATGAGCATATGCATTGTAACATGCATTCTACACATGTAAAAACTTATTCGAAGGATCTAAACACATGAATTCAAAAGGTTGAGACAGAATACCTGCATGGTGCTATGTAATATAAACTGGTGATAGGATTAAGCGTTAGGCCCTTCTTCTGAAGAAGAATTTGAGTTAAAACCAGCCTAAGAGCTTCAGCAAAAATTCCAGTAACCTGGTAGACTGTACCCACTACATTGAAGTGAATTTCCCCATACGAGGAAATGACAACTCCAACACTGACCAACACCATGTTCAAGAACACATCACACCGTAATTTGTCAGTGCCACAAAAAACAGCCACTAGAAATGTTGCCACTGGCACTGTAAAATCCCACAATACAAAACTGATTAATATAGTTCCAGCGCATAGCCATTAATTACAAACGTAGAGGTGATCTGTTTGAACTTACTTAGGGCTTTCAGCATCTGGATGAATGCCACAGAAATGAACAAATAAGCAGTGTTCCCAAACCTGTAGGGAAAGAAAAATTGGTTTAACTTTACATAGTATACATACATGCATATATTTAGTGCACGTGCAATGCACGTGGGAACCTCCAATCAATTTTTTTTTTTTTTGAAGCCAAAATTTATTTATAATTTGGAAAAAGTGAGTTCTAACATTACCTTTTCTTAACATGCTTTGCACAAAAAAGAAGCTGATTCTTATCTTCTGAAAATACAGTAAAACCAATGTGACACTGAACTGTAAAAAAATATAAACAACATATTGGTTTCTCCTGAACCTGCGGATGGAATACCACTTCCCCATGGTTGAAAAAATGGGCAAAGCCGAAACAAGATAGAACAAAATTATAAATTAACCATTTGAATCCTTAAAATCTCAATTGAAAAAGATTAAAAGAAAGAAAACGCAGTCACCTACATGTGAGTATCCTTATTGGGAAAAATAAATAAATAAATACATGCATGTCAGTATCAGTTCTATCTTTTTTTTGATAAGTGTCAGTATCAGTTCTATCTTTCTGCAATAACTGCAGAACATTGCTCCTTGGTACCTTTTGCAGGTCAAAAAGGAGATCAAACTTCTAGTGTGAAGAGAGAGTTTGAGATTGTATCTTTTGGTAGTGAAAGAGAAAGGGGTTTTAGATAGATACTCTAGCTAGGACCCTTACAGAGATTGTTTATGAAGATATCAATAACATTAGCTATTTAATTTAAATAGACTTCTTAATAGTCCATTAGTTGAGGATGGGCCTTGGCGCAACAGTAAGGTTGCTCCATTGTGAACTGGAGGTCACAAATTCAAAATTGGAAACAGCCCCTCTGTGCTAGCCCTTTTAATAGTCCATTAGTTATAAATAATATAAATTTAATAACTAGCCCTTTTAATCGTGCTCTCTTAGGTAAGTGGTTATGGAGATTTGGAAGGGAATGCCATCGACAGTGGAGAAGAGTTGTCTCGTGTCATTTTGGTGAGGAGAGTGGGGGCTGGTCATCTATTCCTGTCACTATTTCGGGAGGCGTTGGTGTGTGGAAATTCATTCGGAAGGGTTGGGATGTTTTTTCCACTCATATTAGATTCAAAGTTTGGGATGGCAGACATGTTCGTTTTTGGGAGGACCTTTGGTGCAGCTATCAGTTGCTGTCTCTTTCTTTTCCTAAGCTCTACAGTATTGCAGCCAATAAGCATGTTTACGTGATTGATTGTTATCAACTTGATAACAATGGAGTTACGTGGGATGTGCGGTTTAGGCGGCCCTTTCAGGATTAGGAAAAGGAGGAAGCTTGTGTTTTTTTGGATATGTTATATAGACAGAAGGATATTGGCAGTGGGTGTGATGATATTTTGTGGATTCCTTTGGCTCATGGTCTGTATGGTGTCCGCTCTATGTTCATCTGTTTGTCCAATTTTGTTAGTCCTGTGTTCCCTTGGAAGTTTGTTTGGCGCTCTAAAGCTCCTCTTCGAATCGCATTCTTCGTTTGGACTGCCACTTTGGGAAAGATTTTGACATTGGACAATTTGAGAAAGAGAGGCAACATCATTGTTAATTGGTGTTGTTTATGTAAAGCTGCTAGTGAATCCGTGGATCACATTCTTTTGCATTGTCTTGCGGCATTTAATTGTTGGAGTTTTATTTTTAGCATGTTTAGCGTTCTTTGGGTAATGCCTAAGCACTCTTTTCAATTGATTAACGCTTGGAAAAGGTGTCCTGTCAAAGAACAAGCTCGGGATTATTGGAGGATTGTTCCACATTGTGTCTGGTGGTGTCTGTGGCGTGAGAGGAAAAATAGATCCTTTGAAGGAAAAGAATCGTCTTTAGCTAATTTAAAAATTCATATTCTTCGTTCTTTGTTCTCTTATGTAGAGGAAGTGCATGCTCCTCGATTGATGATTTCTTTGATCTCTTGGATTCCATTGGTCCTTAGACCTTTTTTCTTGTATTAGGACACGTTCCCCTTTTGAACATTTTTCTAATATATCTTTACTTATCAAAAAAAAAAAGAAAAAAAATAGTCCATTAGTTATAAATAATATAAATTTAATAACTACTATTTATCTACTATAAAATATGAAAAATGTATAAAAATTCTATGTAAATTTATATAGGTATTAGATAGATTAGATTAGATTAGATTAGATACACTTTTTGTTAGGTAAGACACACCCGCCGGCCTTTCTCTCTCTCTCTCTCTCTCTCTTGATTAGTAAGATTTCAATAAAGGCACTCAAGAGGGGAACGCTCCCAAGAGAATACACAAAAGGCCAAAGGTGGCCACCTATAATTTAAAGCTGTCAAAAAAATCCACAAGATCCCCTATACACCCTCTCCAAGCCTCAATTGCATCCACCGTGGATCCAGGGGATACCCAATGCACACCAAACATAGCCCAAAAATAGACCAAACATCCCTCGCCACAGGGCAATGAAGGAGAAGGTGATTCACCGACTACTCCGCCTTCTTGCACATGCAACACCAATTCACCACAATCTGACGACTACTTCTAAGATTGTCTAAAGGTGAGAATCCTCCCGAGGGCTGCTAACCAAACAAAAAAAACCCACCAAATTAGCTATGTAGGGAACATAATCCCAACACCTTCAATCTCCAAACAGCTTTCCAAGGGAAAGAGGGCCCGCAATCCCCAGGTCATCCATCCTCCCTCCACCACCTGGCTATACAACAAAGCTACAAGCTCTGCAACCTCCGCAAGCTCCCAATCATGAAGCTGTCTGAGAAACTCCACATCCCAGGTCATCCTACTGTAATCAAGACGACAACAGTCAACAAACAAGACATGTCTATCCGTAGCAATGGAGGTGATACCACTCAAGCTAATCACGCAATTCCCAGTCATATGAAACCGAGAAGTATCATGAACTGATCAATGGATATGTCATCCCCTAGATAATAAACAACGAGATACAATAGTATGTATAGTGACAGATTTAATCGTTTACGAGATCCAAAAAATCCATAAATACAATTAAATATCATAGAAAAGCTAAGCTTGACGTATCTATGAAGCCTTATAGCGATTGTCATAGTTACCATTAATAAATTTAAAAGCTAAGATAGGAAACGTATCAGCCAAGTAAGTTGCCAGATAGAAGAATGTCAAAAGTAGCATGGAATGAGAACACACTTCCCACCTCTGAACTACATGAATGCCTGAAAAAAAATATTGTCGCGGGCAAAGGGTTACTTTTACCCTATTTTTTTCCCTTACTTTTTGTTAACATAAATAAGGGGGAGAGTTGTTTGGCAATTACAGAACAGGAATGACCAAAGGTTAAAATACTGCTTCTAATATTCAAAAGGTTTATCTTTAGTTAAACATGAATGCACTTTGAAACTAATTAACATCAGGCTTATACCATCGCACAATAATCAATGTCCACAGTTGCATTGGGTAATGTCCCTTATGGTTTGATTGGCTTCAGAAATTATTCAGCCCTGGTTTATCAGAAAGCCATATTATGGCAGCAAGGTCTGAAAAATGTTTATAGACTAGGTGGAATTTCTAAAACCAGGCTTATTGGATAAGTCAACCCTGTCAAGCTCAGATTGCATCCAGAGGTATCAAACCAAACTTTTCAAAGAATAAATGTGATTGATGAGACATTATTTCAGGAGTCAAACTATAAGTCTACCATATCAACAGCTTACCATAGGCTTGACGCAAAGAAGGCACTTATGGGAATCACACAAGTCACATATCTGCAGAGCCAAGGAAAATATTTAAGGAAAGACCATTTTGAAAAAAATGGAATAGTAATGCGCATGCAACTGTCTTACATGTCAAATGTCATTTTTACAGGTGATACTACCTGCACAGATTGGAAGAAAATCAAACGACGTCAGCTAGGGACCCATAGCATGGCAACTTACATAAAAAAGAAAATGCATCATTCAGAACTCATCAAGGCAGGAGAAACAACAAAATATTGAAAAAAGTTGTGAAGCTGTAAGTGACAGTGATTTATATCTATGTGGCACAATTGAGCAATTTGAAGGTAATACGCCAGGAACTTGAGCATAACTTTTGCTTCTTACATGATGCAAGTTAGGAACCTTGATAGCAAAGGATATGTCTATGTCAAGGCATGAGATTCAAAGAGCAAAAGCAAATCATTTCATTGAGTTCATGCAAAAGGAGACCATCCAATGCTCTAGAGACCTAGTACATGCTTTTCTAGAGAAGAAGAAAAAGGCTAGAAGTTGAATGGTGAATTTTTGTTCCCCTATCAATAGAGAGAAACACGTCTGTCAAAACTATCACACAAGATACTGATGTATGCCAAGATTTGAGTTATCAACTTCAAACCCAGAGGATTCAAAACATAAACTCAAATATTCAACACTGAATAGAGAATTTTACATGTTTGATCACCAAATCTAACACAGTAATTTGCTGCTACAATAAATTTCCCCCCTAAGGTATACAGAAGAACATTATAGAAACTTTTGATCCGAAGTGTGGAGCCTGATATATACTATACACCAAGGCCCGTCTTTTTTGGAGGTATTTTGGTAATTTCCGCACTTGTTATGTTGCCCTAGTGTGTGGGTATATATTCATTCTGAACTCTCTGTATCCGTGGCTGTTTTTGATCATCATAGTGAAATCCCTGCAACCCTTGGACGTAGCCCTGAATTTGGGTGAACCAAGTAAAATATGTGTTCTTGTTGTGTGTGTGTTTTATATCTTTCTTGTGTTTTATGTTTAATTTCACAACACGTAGCACTTCAATAAACTCACACTGCCACAGCCAATGGATAAAAGTTCATTCCTTGTTACAATAAAACTAATAATAATAATAATAAATTAATAATAACTTTCAGAGTAATAAAAAATTGTGCATGTTTTTTACTTGCTGAGTTTATCTAGATTCCCCACCCCCCCCCCCCCCCCCCCCCCCCCCTCCCTTCAATCCAACCAAAAAAAAACAAAGCATAATATCTGTGATTCCATTGTACAGAGTATACAAGTTCCAATGATACCTTCAGAACACGGATAAGAAGGAATGCCACCATGCCAGAAAATCCCATATGAATCATAGTAAGTGTTATTGGAAACGGAAAATTGAAGTATTTAGGAGAGAGGACCCACTGCGGAGGAGGAAAAATAAACATGATTTGTATTTGCTCAAACAAATAGTTCATGTAAGTAACAAAAATATTTGAACTATATGCATTGTAGACATAAGGAGATCAATAGAAATAAAATAAGTAAAAAGACATGGTAAAAGTATTCAATAAGATAGATGTCATATATGAATGCCAAAATAACAAAAAAAACATTCCAATTCACTTTGTCGGAACCTCCTTACATGATTTATCTAATCATAAAATATTTGGAAACAAATAAATAAGGAACTGTTACGACTTAATTGTCAAATGTACGCCTAGGCTCACAAAAAGCCCCAAGCTCGTCAAGGTTCAAGAGGAGCGCCTCAAACTACTACAATCTAGGTCCCTTCAGTCGAGAATGCGTAACTCATGCTTTTTAGCAGGCTTCAAGATATAAATGTATATCTTATTCTTAGTTATTCATTTATTAAGTTTTCTTTCTCCCTTCTTTTTAAAAATGACCATGAATTTACATAATTTACATCAGATCATGGTCATATTCAATGGATCATATTATTTAATCCTATCATATATTTGATGGATTTAATGAGCTTATCGTTGACCAGTTGCATTAGTTATGTCTAAAGCGTGATTCTGAAATTTTATGATAATATAATTTATGTTTAAAATCCACAGGATTATTGCTTTTTTGTTTTACATATTCTTCATGGTTCTTGAATTCAGTCATCCATATAAATATCGGGTAAAATCACATATCCCCCCTCTACTTTCAAATTAGTGCAAAAAAAACCCACTAAAATTAAACAGCCCCCTGAACTAAAAATTCGTATCACACTGCCCCCATAACCGTTAATTAAGTTGTGAAATGACAAAATTAACCTTATGATTTAATATTAAATTAGAAGCATATATATATATTATTTTCAAATTACAAAAATAACCCCAAGTCTTGATCCTCATCACCCTCTCTTTCTAAAACTCATATCCTTCTCTATCTAAAATAGACCCATTATTGAACAGGGGGAAATACATTTCTCGAATAGCCAATGTATGAACACTTTTATTAGGGAGTATTTTCTAATTACAGCATACCATCCTCTCTTTGCGAAAGAAGCAACATTGGCAAAACGACTTCAAAAGCCCTGAAGCAGCCGGCGATGGCGCGGTCCATAGTGGCGGCGACAGAAATGGGAACGTCGTCATCAAAGGAAGACGTCACAGGCAGATCAACTGAAGCAAAGCAAATTGGTGTTCTTCAATGGTGGGGTTTACAGTTTCGATTTGGAGGATCTGTTGAGGACTTCGGTGGATTAACATAGAGAGGAATTCAGAGATGGAACAATAACGCATAGAGTACTCGTAATAACAGTGTTTGATACTTCGTTGTTGCATACATTTATCTCGATCGGTTAGTGCAGAGACAACCATTGTTGTCCATCAATTTGTTCAATGTTCATCGGGTTGCTTATCACTAGTGTCATGGTTGCTGTGTGATTACTTTTCATGACCAACAAAAAATTGAACTTTTGGGATTTTCACTTTACTTTCTCGGGTTGCTTTAATTTGTTTCAGTTTTCACACTTGAATTGAGATTGTTGGATTTTTTTATGGGTTTTTTATACTTCTTTGAATTTCAATTATTTTCAATAAATTGATGAAGCAAGGTTTTCAATTGTTGAGTTATAATTTTGTTCTTGATCTCTATTCTCTAGTTTAATTTAATGACTTTTAATGTATTTGATCAAATTGAAGCTTGGGTTTTCTCCGTGTGCTCTAATTTGGTTTTGGTCTTCTTGGAATAAATTTCTGGAGAGCCCATTTATTTTCCCAATAAGATTGTCCAGATGTAAAATAGAGGCTTTTTTATTTTTTTTTTATAAGTAAAATTCAATAAAGGCACTCAAAAGGGGAGCGCTCCCAAGAGTACAAAAAGCCGCTACCAGCAACATTACATCTTTAAACTATCAACAAAATCCAAAAGTCTATCCAAGGATATACAATTTCGCCCATCAACCCAAAAGAATAAAAACGACAAAATATTGTACTCGTCATAGTTGTTAAAGGCTTAAGGTGCACAAAAGCGCAAATGACTCTTGAAGCCTGAGGCGCAAGTAGCAAGGCGAGACGCGTACCCGACTGAAGCAAGGCGCACGTTGAAAAACAAAAAAAACAAAACCCACCCAATAAAGTATTAAAGATGCAATACTATATATAAAAAATCAATCTAATTTTCTATAACTATAAGCACCATGATTCATTCTATTTGTCATTTTTGGGTAAGTGATTTAACAACTAAACATTCTTTCAATAATAGAACCTAATTATATTATATGAAAATAATATAACAGTTGCTATTTACAATTTGAGATTGACTTCTATAATTTAGAGTACACTTGTGACTTAACTAATTATTTCATTTTAACACGTTAGAATGGAACAAATACAGGCATACAATTTGGCTGCAATTGTGATTAAGCGAAGTAACTGCAGAATGTGTTGGCTCAAATTGGGAAATAGATGGGTGGAGATAGATCGGTTTGGTGCTAATTTTTATGGATTCAGTATTTCAGTGTTAAGTTTGATGTTAATTTGACTTCAATTTGGTGTTAACTGGACAACTTCTTCTCTCTATCTCTCTCTATTTGGTGTTTTGTAAATTCTGTATATATTAGAAGCTTTGTATTCCTCTGCAAATTTTACAAGAAAATCAATTAAATACCTTCTGATTTCAATAATTTTTTTTTTTTTGGGTGACTAAGAAAAAGAATTACATTCTGTCACATACAGCAATCCGAAAAAGAAAAAAATAGCAACTGTTATTTTAAGATTAAAATAAAATAGCAACATAATAAATCTGTCACAGTCCAGAGTCTCCAGACTCGAGAAAAAAAAAATAAAATAAAAAATAAATATATAAATAAAAAGAAGAAGAAAAATAAAATAAAATAAAAAATCTACCAAACTCGACTCGGCCGAGAGAAGAAAAGAAGAAGAAGAAGAAGAAGAAGAAGAAGAAGAAGAAAAGAAGAAGAACAGAAGGAGGAGGAGAGCAGAAGAAGAGAAGGAGGAGAGAAAAAAAAAAACTGAGACAGGTCCGAGAAGAGGAGGAGGAGAGAAGAAGAGAGGAGGAGGAGGAGGAGAGAAGAAGAAGAGAAGAGAAAAAAAAAAACTGAGACAGATCCGAGAAGAGGAGGAGGAGAGAAGAAGAGAGGGAAGGAGAAGTTGGAGAACTTACCAGTAGAGTCGCCGACGCAGATCCGGCAAATCCAACACAGATCCGAGAGGACCGAGACCGAGAGTCCAACTGTTGTCCAAGTCGTCACTGCCTCTGTCTTCTTTGCTTTGCTTTTTGGTTCTTTGTTTTTTTTTTATGTTGTAACAATGTAACTTGTAGGTTTTTAACTAATAAAATAATATAATAGAAACAATAAAGTGAATAAACAAACAAAAGTTACAAAACCAATATAACAAAACAATTAAAAAACTACAACTTCAATCAGCGCGCCTTTAGCGCGCCTGTAGCCTGGCGCCTGTGTAGGAAAGGCGCACGCCTTCTTTAACCCATGCGCCTTAAGTCACTAAAGGCGATGAGATGGCACCTGGAGGCGCCTTGCGCCTCAGGTACGCGCCTCCGGCGCCTTTAACAACTGTCTTTGAGAGACCAAATAGGAGACTCCTCCCCCTCAAAGGATCTCCTATTTCTCTCGTGCCACAAGCCCCACCAAAGACAGAGGGGAGTGACCCTCCAAGCATCTCTGACTCGACTTTCCACTATACACCCTTTCCAAGCCTCAAGCAAATCAACCGTGGACTCCAAGGAACACCCAAGCCACACCAAAGGCAGCCAAGAACAAAGCCCAAATGTCCCTCACCATAGGGCAATGAATCAGAAGGTGGTTCACAAATTCTCCCGACTTCTTACACATGCAACACCACTTCACTACAACCTGGCGTCTTCTTCTGAGGTTGTCGAGAGTGAGGATACTTCCAAGAGTGGCTGACCATGCAAAGAAAGCCACCTTCAAGGGGGCTTTAGTCCTCCAAATAGCTCTCCAAGGGAAGGATAGGTCAGGGGTCTCCATAAGACGTTGGTAGAAAGATCTAACCTCAAACAGCCCTCTCAATGACCCCTCCCACAACATCACATCCATACCCACACCCTCCCACACCAAATCATGTCATGTTCTGGCACTCTCACTCCTCTTAAGGTCGTCTGTTCGGAGTAAAGAAGCAAAGCTTGTGGTGGTTTCAACTTTATCCTCACCTTCAAAAGAAGAAGTTTTGGGTTTTGGCTTACTCAAACCGAGAGCTAGAAGCTATATTTATACACAAGAATATGGTACAAAGAAAGAAAACCAAATCAAAGAAAAACAGGAAATATGCCAAAATCTGCGTGATCTCATGATTACGGGAATCTTATCTACGTGATCCCATAATAATAGGGATCTTAGATAAAACATCTAATAAAAAACTAAAAACAGCTAATAAAAATAATAAAAAAAAATTAAAATAATACACATATTTCAACACTCCCCCTCAAGCTGGAGTGAAGATATCAATCAAACCCAACTTGGTAATCGAGGAATAAAGCAAAGATGGACCAACGGATTTGGTGAACACATCTATCGACTGATTAGAGGACCGAACAAAGCACGGCTTGATAATTCCCAAACGAACCTTCTCTCTGATAAAATGAATGTCCACCTCTATATGTTTAGTCCTCTCATGAAGAACAGAATCTGAAGCAAACATAATGGCTGACCTATTATCACAAAACAAGTCTGAGGACTGTTTTTCACTTACCCATAGTTCCTCCAAGAAAGATCGAAGCCAAAGAATCTCACAAGTACCCTGGCCCATGGCACGATACTCAACCTCTGCTGAAGATCTCGAAACTATAGGTTGCTTCATACTTTTTAAGGATATAAGATGATCTCCATAGAAAGTACAGTAGCCAGATGTGGAACGTCTATCAGGCTTGGACCCAGCCTAGTCTGCATCATTAAAATAGGATAGCC